TATAATTATTCTGTAAAATTACCTTTAATTATTTGTGTTCAGTCATTTCCATTATTGCATTTTTTCACTAGATGGAATTTTATCAGAATACTGAATAGAAGTATTGATAGCTGGAACTCTAGATTTGATCTGATGTCTGAATAAATGTCTTTAATMTTTCACCAACTACAGTGCTTACTATATATTTTATATACATTAAGTATGCCAATAGCTTCTGGTTTTCCTTTTGTTTTCTGGTTTTATTGATTTTAGTTTTTAAAATACACGACAGCAGAATGCATTACAATTCTTACTACACATATAGAGTACAATTTTTCATATCTTTGTATATAGAGTATGTTCACGCCAATTCATGCCTTTATACATGTACTTTTTTGTATACAATTCTTATTACACATATATATAATAATTTTCCATATCTCTGTTTATATATAAAGTATGTTGACACCCAATTCGARTCTGCAGACATGTACTTTGTATAATGATGTCCATCACATTCCACCACCCTTCCTAATCCCTTGCCCCCTCTCTTTCCCTTCCACCCCTCTTCCCTATCTAGAATTCATCTMATCCTCCCATGCCCCCCCTCCCTACTCCACTATTTGTGGTTTTTCTATCTATCTATCTATTTATTTATTTTTTACTTTCTTTGGTGCCAGGGATTGAACCCAGGAACACTTTGGCACTGATTCTCACCCCAGCCCTTTCTAAAATTTTTTATTTGTGGTAGGTTCTCACTAAGTCGCCTAGGGTCTCACCAAGTTGTTGAGGCTGCCATTGAMCTTGTGATMTTCCTACATACCTCAGTCTCCCAAGTCACCAGAATTATAGGTGTATATAATACCACCATGCTCAGCTCCATTAAATTTATCAAATATAATACAATGCACCACTCTTGTGTTCTATTTAATAAATTTTTACAGTAGCATACATCTGTATAATGCCAAATAAAATAGGGAAACGAACATTTTTATCCCCAGACATTGCCTTCTTGCTCCTATGAGTCATTATTACTCCCCAGAGGATATCACTTTTTCTTTTCTATCAATTTAAGGTTAGTTTTACCTGTTTTTGGACTGCATATAAATGGACTCATATATTATGGTCTTGTGTTTATCTAATTCTGTACCATGTTTTTGAGATTCATCTATGTTATATTTCATAGTGTCTATTTCTTTTTCTACGTTATATATCATTTGATGAAGTCACTACTCATTCCTGTTCCATTTATAACACTGCTTGTGCTGTTGGAACATATATATGTGTGTTTTGTGAACAAATGTTTTCACTAAAAATCTAAGAATGAAAGTTCTAGGTCATAAGATTAGTGTATGTTAACAAGAAACTGCTCAAGTTCCTGCAGTTTCTTATTAAGTTACACATACATGAACTATATATAATAGTTACACCAGCCTATACTTACACTATCAATTTATTAGATTTATACCTTTGGGGCAGGGTTGTAATATACGTTGAATTAAAACTTATAGAAATCTTAAAACTTAAAGAAATCTTCATATATTCACCAACTGGAGTGAGAAAAATCATTCAAATTAGGTTTCCAGTCCCTTCAGAATCAGTCTTTTTTAACAATAAAATATAAAAAGGAAAACTCAGGTAGCAAAATGTACACAAAATATATTTAGAACTGTTTTGCCAAAACTTTTGCTCTCCAAAATAAACACGTGAACATTCATATGCTTATTTGTACACATTTATGTATTCATCAACTTGAGAAACTCAAGACAAAGCATAACTAGACAGAGAACCGTCCTCTATTACTCATCTGAAATGCATATTTTTTTATTTCATAAATGTTTATGAATTATATATCTATACAGATATTTGTGTATGTGTATGCTAAAGTGCCATGTATATACACACACATACTTATGTATGTATATGGTGAGTGGTGAGCTGAGGTGAGCATAATATTATAATCAAGATAAATGAAAAGTGTTTCCTGGAACCATCAGACCCTTGGTCAGAAGTTCAAGGAGAAGACAAACAAATTCAACACATTTTTTTCTATAGTTTTCTCCTTGGTTAAAAAGCTGAAAAATGCAGAAATTGTCTCAAAAGTCCCAAAGGATCTTTTCCTTTGAACCAGAGCCTCCTGAGACACTGAACTGCAGAGACCCAAGCAGGTGCACACATTGGAGTCTGGAAATCTTCAAAAGGTGCAATGATGCTCAGAAGAGGCAGAACCTGACTGCTGTGKGACTCCTGGTGCTCAGAACTCTCAGGCATGCACACCACCAGTCTGATCTTTGCTAACACTGAGGTGACTTAGGTTGATTCCCGAAACTCATATTTTCAACAAATGAAAATATCTAGACCAGAAACACAAGTGTGTGATATGTGATTAATGGCAAATTCAGGATTAATTGTTTTTTACTCTCACCCTAACACGTTGCCATTTATTTGGGGAATAAGAAGGGAAAGGCTTCCTGGAGTTGTGAAATAAATTTAAGAACTATGTCATAATTCACTGGAGATAGCAAAATATGTGCAATAGTGTGTTGCAATAAAAGGAAAACAAAAACTTTTACCTTAATTATTGCATAACTACACTCAGAATTGCTTTCAGTAGGAATGTTTTTTGTGGGGAAGTGGAAAGTGAACCAGTATCAGACATGAATCCAAGAAAGTATTAAGGGCACTTGCTAAAAGAAGCTTCAATAGAGAAATCCTCCCACATGAYCCCCTCCCTCTGCAAATGGGTGCCATATAGCATCTGTATGAACAAGTCCAGGGAGGAGAATTCAGCAATGACACAGATATATTCTCTCTATTCACAGAGCTCCTTTTGCTAAGGATTGACTTGCTGTAACTTTGACTTGSTGTAACTATAACTTCTCACATTTGTTCTACCTCTTCCTTAAGATACAATTARGAAACATTTGTGCATGTGATAATATACCACAATGAATTCCATTATAATGTATAACTATTATGCACCAATAAAAATAGATTTTTTCTCTCCTGAAATTGAAAATCAGTTTCTTTCTGTGTTACCATGAGTTGTTTAGTCTAGTTATGTTCAGCTTATGCAACTGTTCTTCAGTGCTTAGGATCGGTAAATAATTATAACAGATGGAGTCTGATTAGACAAGTGGCTTTGAAGTGAAAGTTTAATTTGATTGAACTTTGCCTTTACCAGTTTTAATTTTTTATGAGGATAGATATTTTGATTAACCTTGCATCTCCATCTCATCATGTATAAAATGATAGTTATAACAAATTTGTGATATTTAGATTGAAATATTAGCAGCCTGAGTGGAAGAGATTTGACTTGGTTGATTAGTATATCMCTAGAAACTAGAAAGGTGTCACAAATGTTGGAAACAATCAATAAATACCTGTTAAGCAAATAGTGTATGCCTCATCATATATTCTGACAATTTTAGAAGTACATAGCATGTGCTGATGTCCACATTCCAAGCACTGTTGAAAAGAGTATTATTTAGCCTTCTAACATGTCTATGGTGTATATTATTATCTTTCTCCTTTGAGAATTTTGAATATACTTGCAAGGTGAAATGTGCAACTTGCTCAAGTCCATCCAGCTAGTAAGTGTTGGAAACAAGATGTAGCCCAAGGAGTCTGGGGTGCCCATGTCTCCATAGTAAGCAAGCAAAAAATCAGATCTCATGCTTTCCGAGAGCAGACACTTAGTCATCTACTTTTCCTTCTTTTGTATATATTCTAATTTTATGATTAGTTTGCCTAACAGCAGAATCCATGTGAATCCTTGAGTGTCATTGTGAGGGAGGTTGTGCACAAATATTTATGAACTGAGGAGTGGGAAGGATAAACTGGCTCTGAATTTGTGTGCCTGTTTGTAAACTAACGAGTATGGTTTGATGTTTATTGATATTATTGATGCTTGGATGAGTCTGTGATGACTGCCCAGCTTTTTAAACCAGCAGTATAAAGCCTAAAATCCCCACCTCTCCTGATATCCTGTCTTTTCTCCAGTCTTGTACCTCTTGTGGCTTCTGGCTACTTGAAAAGAAACAGAGACACAGGCAGCATTCCCTACAGACCAGTTCTATTCTTGGTGATTCCAATAAACACAGGATTAGTTAACTTAGAAATAGGAAGACCTTTGACGGGATTTAGTTGAATGAAATTTTCCTGGATCTGATTCCAGATCTTAAAAGACATTTATGTTTATATTTTTTTCTATCTAAAACACAGGCGCATGTTTAAATCTCCTGTCATAGTAACATATGTATTTTCTATAATTGACTTGCCAATCTCTTGATATAGCTGAGATTTTCAAAATTCCACACTATCCTTTTAACTCAAAATATACAATGGCACTTGAGTTCACAAAGGGTGAGTAGGTTTATTTGAATCTACACTTATTATCCAAGGTATGCTTGATCTCTTGGGATGCWCTAAGCTAACTCAGAAGTGACAATAATAGCAGTCGTGATTATTGTTTATATCTGTTAAGTATTCACTCTGCACCATTCAAAGTTTTAGCACCTAATATTAAATTAAGCTATTGAATAATCCTGATAAATAATCCTGACAAGAATGCAATGATCTCATTTAGATGGAGAAAACCGAGGCATAATGTGGTTAAACAATATGTTCATATCATATGCTATGTGAAGTGAGAAACAAGTGGAACATGAATCTAGAAAGAGTGACTCCAGGGGAATCTGATAGATTCTCATTGCAAAGGCCTTATTGAAATCACACAGCTAACCACTAAAGACACTCCAAATCATGGTACTATCCAAAAGTGGGATCCTAAATTAGAATAAATTATAATCCATGTATATATGTCAAAATACATTCTCCTATCATGTATATATAAAAAGAACAAACTTAAAAAAAAGAATTCACAGAGTAAAAATAAAATAAAATAAATAAAAAATTTTATAAAGATGTTTTTATGCTCTCTACTTACCTTTGGTTTCCTTTCTGGCCCAGGGAACTGTCACTGTTAAAGAGTCTAAAATGCTCTCCTCCTGTCAGCCATTATGTCTGGAGCCAACAGTTCCAGCCTGACACCAGGATTCTTTAWCTTGAATGGTGTTCCTGGGCTGGAAGCTTCCCACACCTGGATCTCCCTGCCATTCTGCCTCATGTACATCATTGCTCTTGTGGGGAATGTGGGACTCATCTATCTCATCAGTCAYGAGGAGGCCCTGCACCGACCCATGTACTACTTCCTGGCCCTGCTGGCCTCCACTGATGTCACCTTGTGTACCACCACTGTGCCCAACATGCTGTGTATATTCTGATTCAACCTCAAGGAGATAGACTTTAATGCCTGCCTGGTCCAGATGTTTTTTGTCCACATGTTGACTGAGATGAATTCTGGGGTGCTCATGCTCATGGCTCTGGACCGCTATGTGGCCATCTGCTACCCCTTACGCTATACCACCATCCTCACCAAGGCTGGTCTTGCCACTTTCTTGAGGAGTGTGATGCTCATCATCCCATTCACTTTCCTCACCAAACGCCTGCCCTATTGCCAGGGCAACCTCATCCCCAACACGTACTGCGACCACATGTCTGTGGCCAAGGTGTCCTGTGGCAACGTCAAGGTAAATGCTATCTATGGTCTGATGGTTGCCCTCCTGATTGGCATCTTTGATATTTGTTGTATCTCTGCATCTTACACTATGATTTTGAGGGCTGTAGTGAGCCTGTCATCAGCAGATGCTCGTCACAAAGCCTTTAGCACCTGCACATCTCATATCTGTGCCATCGTGATCACTTATG